TGAGCTTATTGTCACTTCGGCTATAACGATCCCCTGGTCTCACCTGCCTTCAAAGTACTGAACTCCTCTGGCATTCTTTGGCGCACTTCACTAACATCGTGCATATCCTTAGCTGGTTCATCTCCGAGAGGTACGACCTCATCATCCTGACCACCCTTTGGCTCGTCGGCGCAGCCATGGCCACAGTATGTCATCCCTGCTCTCAGCCGGAAGCTTCTCAGTCACTGATACAGTTATGGTTAATGCTAGTGCCTCTGGAGCAGTGGTTCCTGGTGTCACCCTGACATGCCCTGCCACCTGCTTACGGCCCTTGTCGCCTTTGCATGGATGAGTTTCCTCCATATCAGCGGCCAGCTTACCGTTCAGCCAAAGACCGATTCTGATGGTTGTCTGGCTTAGCAACCTGGAGGCTACGCAACACCTCCTTTCTTATTCTCGGCTTCCATCTCAGCTCTGGGGTGCTTTCGCTCTGTGCTCACTTTCCAGACACGCACTTCATAATCTCGTCCCCCTTCAAGTTCGTGTCGAATAATGAATCCTCGTCTTATATTCCGCACGCCCTTGAAAAGAATCCCCTAGCTCTTTTCCTTACTCAAGGGCACGTTCTTCTATGTCGTTTTACAAGAGCATATGTCTACCAGTTTTGTCTTCCGCTTCGAAGAATCGAGCTTGCGCTGGTGGCTCGTCTTTCCGTTTGAGTATTGCCTGTAGCTCTATCGCATGTGCTTGCACTTTAGTCGGTTTATTGACTAATTCACTTCAAGTCACGATATAAGCCTTTCTACTAGTAGAGCCATCGCAGGCTTCGGATGTAACGTCGCTACACAACGTCCGTGATATTTCTAACGAAGTCAAGCAGTTCTATCACTCCCGGCCGTCGTTGCTGCCGAGTCGCGCCTATATGACCACTAAGGCTGCTATCGTCAAGTTGCCATTATCTAAATCAATCGTTGTTGATCCTTCTTGAGTGGAGCAGATAGCTGCAATGATCTTCGAGTCATCCCATTTGTCCTCTGGTGCCGCAGGGCTCCTTGAGCGCTGACATGGTAGCACGGTTCTTCTGAGAGGACCCTTTCCTGAGATATCTCCTTGCTACCGAGGTTATAGTATTGTTTGTATTGGCGGGATTGGATAACGCATCTCTCACTTAGCTCAGTCGATTGTGTCGTACGTATGGCTGTGTCAGGTTCACTTCTCTGTTACATCGACCCGTATGGCGCCGTTGTCTTCCATTCTTGAAGTTCGGTCATTCTCCTATATCCACCATTCCAAGGTCTACCGTTATGATGGCACGTACAGCTATGGCACTCGAAGTAGTACCATGTGCTTGTCGAGTCGCAGTGTGCATATAGGATCCGCTCGGACCCAGGGACGGTTCGGCATCCTCTGTCTACTACTCTGGTAGTGCTCACGGACACTGTTCGCACTATGGCACAGACCATGACATCCGTCACCATACGAAAGGAAATTCGCGGATTTCTGGTAAGCGACCATACCAGATACTCGCAGATTTTGAGGCTCCTGTCTGAGCGACGGTCACCATATAGTGGATGTTCTCAATAGTGACTCTCGGCTTGAGCTGTGCACGGCTCCACTATACACTCTACAACCCGCCCACAGACCCGCTGAACAGTAGCAAAAGCTACCACGGTGTGTGCGATGCGCATTCGCCGCATATGCAGCCCACCACGCTGAATGCTCACATGGACATCACCTCATAGATCCTATCGTTGTCGAGCTTATCGTCACCTCGGCTTTGACCTATGCCTGGACCACTCGGTTGCGACGGTACCTCAATCCTCATAGCTCTCGTTCACACGCCCTACTAACATCGCTTGCATTTCTAGCTATTATGATGCCGAAAAGTACGATCTGCCGATCTTGTTCGCACTTTGGCTCGTCGGCGCAGTGTTCGCTACGGTATTCCTCCCCGTGCTCTCGGTGGACGCTTCTCAGGCACTGACATCGTAACTCCAGCTCCAGTGGGGGAACCTTACCTGGTGTTACAGCGACCAGTCCTGTCGCGTACTCACAGCTCTTGTCGCTTTCGTGTGGATGAGCTGCATATTAATTTTTGCTCTGCTTATCATCAGCTGGTTCCTGGTTCTTGTTGGT